GATCTGGAAAAATATGAGAAAATCAAGGAACCCATTCTTGGCCTATATGGTCTAATAATAAACGCTTAGATCAAATTCTGGAAGCTAGGCAAAAATCAGAATTGTTGATTTTAAAGAGTTAGGCAAATAGGATCTAATTAAACTTAAGAGCTTCAGCACAGCAAAAGAAACTATCTATAGAATGAACTGGCTACAAACAGAATGGGAAAAAAATTTTGTAACCTACCCATCTGACAAAGGGCTAATATCCAGAATCTACAAAGAATTAAAACAAATTTATAAGAAAAAAACACACAACCCCATCAATAAGTAGGTGAAGAATATGAACAGACACTTTTCAAAAGAAGGCATTTATGCAGCCAACAAATATAAAAAAATGCTCATTATCTCTGGTAATTAGAGAGATGCAAATCAAAACCACATTGAGATACCATCTCACACCAGTTAGAATGGTAATTATTAAAACATCGGGAGACAACAAATGCTGGAGAGGATTTGGAGAAATAGGAACACTTTTACACCGTTGGTGGGAGTGTAAATTAGTTCAACCATTGTGGAAGACAGTGTGGCGATTCCTCAAGGACCTAGAAATAGAAATTCCATTTGACCCAGCAATCCCATTACTGGGTATATAGCCAAAGGATTATAAATCATTCTATTAAAAAGAGACATGCACACATATGTTTATTGTGGCACTGTTTACAGTAGCAGACTTGGAACCAAACCAAATGCCCATCAATGATAGATTGGATAAGGAAAATGTGGCATGGATACACCATGGAATACTATGCAGCCAAAAAAAGGATGAGTTCGTGTCCTTGCAGGGACATGGATGAGGCTGGAAACCCTCATTCTCAGCAAACTGACACAAGAACAGAAAACCAAACACAGCATGCTCTCATTCATAAGTAGATGTTGAACAATGAGAACGCATGAACACAGGGAGGGGAACATCACACAATACACTGGGGCCTGTTGGGGGTCTAGGGGGCTAGGGGAGGCATAGCAGGTGATGGGGGGGGTGGGGAGGGATAGCATTAGGAGAAGTACCTAATGTAGATGATGGGGCGATGGATGCAGCAAACCACCAGCAGGGCATGTGTATACCTATGTAAGAAACCTGCACAATCTGCACATGTACCCCAGAACTTAAAGTATAATAAACCAGTTTTTAAAAAGGTAAAGAGTTAGAGCTTGAAAAGGTATTTTGAGCTCCTGTTTAGTTTGTATCCCCTTTCGCTGCAGCTGTTCCTGGTGGATCCCAAGCACAGATCACTTGTAAGGATTAGGAGAATGAAGAGAAAGATGCTTTTGACCACGAAATTCTACGTTGCCAATGCTATGTCTCTCATGAGATTTTCATCTCTGCCCTGAGACAATTACCATAGAAGAACAGAATCTCTGATAATATATAATGATAATGTATAATGAACATTATACATTAGTTCTTACAGTAGGAAAATAGGTGAAACATGGGCATTTTTTACATTTACAAAGCATGAGCATTATAGCAGTAGTTTTAATAATTTATTTTTTTCTTGTGGCTGCTGCTATGAGAAAATGCACATTTAAGGATTTTAATTCCACTGTCTTCAGTCCTCAGCAAATGCTGGAGTTACAGACTTGTTTTCACAAGTGGTCTGAGATGGCAAGTCACCATCCCTTACAACCAATTTGCCTTCATTACAAATTAATGAAGTGATAATTGCTCCTTGCAACCTTTCATGTGCAAAGAATGCTGGTGCTGTTTGCATTATCTTCTCGCAATGTATACCTCTGTGTTCAAGGACTTGTGGTAGCTTGCCAAATGTTAAACTGCACTGAGATCTCCATAATTAAAATCATATTTTACATCAAATTATGAAGATCTCTACATAATATGTTCTGTTTGATGTCGAGTAAAATGCTGTTCATTGCAGAATGAATTTGCAAATGATTCATCAAAGAAATAATCTCATTTATTCTTAAAAGGAAAACTTGACTTAAGAAATTTAAAATCAATTTTTTTATATTCAAATAATGTTGTAATGATCGAACAGAATTTCTGTAAGATGGTTACAGAAAGCATTTTTTTCTCTAGAGTTTTTGCTAGCTCTCTACTTTAAAATGCCATTGTAGAACCAAGGTAATGATACTAGAGGAGACTCCACAAAACATGAACTTTTAACACCAGAGATTTTTGGAGCACCAAGTTTGTTGACTGTTGTTGTTGTTTTTTTTTTTATATCAAACATACACATTAATTTTGCTTTAAATGTGACTGTATTATTATAGGCACCTCAATGTAAAACCCTAAGAACTGAGACTCTCATGTACTCTTATCTCCTTAAAAACTCAGTATATAACATACAAATAGAGTGAATACTTACAAATGGCAAGTTGGAAATTGTTAAAAATATGTGAATATTTTCTTTCCTTCTGCTGAGATTAGAATGCATCTTGTATATTACTTCTGAGATCTTCTAAAATCGTCTCGATTTGATTCTTTGTTGAATCTCGGATGTGACAATGAAGTTAGGTCAATTTTTCCTCCAGAAAATGAGTCCCTATCTTGTATTTTAGATCTTGAATGATTAAGGTTTTTAAAAATAGTGTTTTTCACTTGTTTCTTTTGTAAGTTAGTAGGTGTGCTATGAAGAACTAGGAGTTTTTAAACTGTGATTGTCACACCAGTAAAGTTCATAAATTGTTTTTGATAATTTAAGCAGGCTTAAAGTCATGTTTCTTTGCTTGTAATTACTAACAATTTAACACATTAATATTTTATTTTATTTTGTGATTAGAAGGTGTGAGTTAACATTTCTGTGACTGTAAAGATGGCAACAATAAACATTAGAGACTACTCAAGGGGAAACAGAGGGGGGTTGCAAGGATTGAAAACCCGTCCCATACTATGCTCACAACCAGAGTGAAGGTGTCAGTTGTCCTCAAACCTCAGCCTCACGCGATGTACTTATGTAGCAAACCTGTACATGGCCCAAATTGGGAAAATATTCATACAGACGAATTTTAGGCAGCAGTTTTATTTATTTTTTTAAACAAACAAAAAACATACATGAAAGTCATAGCATAGTGTCAACAGAAAGAGAAAAAAGTGTTAATACATTTAAATGCTGTTGATTTCATTACAAGCTTTTAATATTTATCATTCCTGATGAAAATAATTAACTCCTTTATTGGAGAAAAATGTAGGAACACATTTATAATGGACTTCACAAGGGTTTTATTTCATATATTTAGCTACAATATTTAAATATTTTCTCTAAGGAAAACATTTTGTTTTATTCCCATGAATTACTTTTACATATATTATAATAAAAATAATGTTTGTGCATATCCCAAAAGGTGAAGTTTTGTGCTCTACTATGGAGGGTATAAACAGATCTGCCTGAAGTTTAGCAAATGCCTGTGGAACAAAATTAAAACTAACTTTAGTATGTATAACAAATGAAATTTACAAATGAATAGGGCATTTAATAAGAGTTAGTAATACAGAAAGTTTCTTAGGATTGTCAAGATTATGGGAGGCATAAGGCAAGAACACACAATGCTATGTTGGGACTATGCCATAAGATAGGTATATTCCACAAGAAAGGAATACAGGACAGAAAACCCAACACATCTCTGAAAACAATAAGAGAGTTTACATTGACAATCATATAATGTATGCCTAAATGAAACGTTACTTGTCTCGTTTCAAACCAAATGTGGGTGAAGGGGAGAAGAAAAGAAAAGCACACTGCCATGTGTGTTCCTACGCAACTGTCTTGCATGCTCTGCTCATGTACCCCAAAACCTAAAATCCAATAAAAAATTTAAAAAAATAACAAAATATGAATAACTATGCTTTCCTTTGGGGGAAAAAAAAAAACACTTTGAAAAGTTAACATGTGGTTTACGACTAGTTTTCAGAGGAACACAAATGCGAAACTCAAGAGTTTGAAAGTTTTTGTATGAGTAACAGAGAGCCCTAGGAGAATTTAAATTCAGAATGACTTGGCAAAAGACGTGTTTTCCCGGAAGTCGTTAGGCAAAATCGGGCATGATAAGAAGGGAGTGTGGATATGGGGGTAGGGAACACAGAGACAACTGATCTGCTTGTTTTAGGATCATAAGTAACACAACGTACGATGTTAAAGCTTCTCAAAATGTATCCTAAGGATCACAGAAGACAGTGCTTCACTGTTCTTAAAAATCTTAATACTTTTAAAGACTTTTTACAGTGAGAAAAGTTGTTCTAAGGTAATCTTAACTATTATAACAACAAAACCCCAAATATCGATCTATTTCTTGACTGGGAAAAAGTCCAATGTGGGTGTAAAAGACTTTAATCGAACGTTCGCTATGTCTTCTGTTTTTCACCCATGAAAACTTTACACACCCATCAGGGTAAAAACTTGGTTTTATATTTGGGGGTACTGAGGGGTGACGCGTGTTTATGTTTTTATTTCAAATTTTTTGCATAGTTCTACAACCCATGTCCATTGAAATGACAGTACATTAAAAAATGTCATGGATAATGATACATAGTAATAATATCATTTATATTCACTTTATTTTGCCTTGTATCAGTTTTACCAAAAACCCGGCACAAAATGGAAAAAGATTAATAAGAATGAATTTTAGGCAGTAGTATTTTTTAATTCTTTTTTAAACAAAGAAAAATAAACAAAAAACATACAAGAAAATTATATCACTGTGTCATTGGAGACAACTGACATGAGGTTTTGATCCTGGAAGCTTTGATTAGGCTCTATTAACTGCTAAGTGACTGTTTCCTGCGTATCGCACAAACGGCAATGCAAGTGAAATGTGTTTATCAAAATTATAAATTACTTTGTGTTCATTAACTCAGAGAACCTTACAAATAAAAACTACAAACGAGAATGTTTTTCATGAACATATGATGATTTGTTATGTAGTGATGCCTCAGACACCCTTATCTCGTATTCATCATGATCACGAATTCTGCCTCACTCTGTTTCTCTTTGATTCTTCAGTGGGAAGAAATCAGTGGTGTGGATGAACATTACACACCCATCAGGACTTACCAGGTGTGCAATGTCATGGATCATAGTCAAAACAATTGGCTGAGAACAAACTGGGTCCCCAGGAACTCAGCTCAGAAGATTTACGTGGAGCTCAAGTTCACCCTCCGAGACTGCAATAGCATCCCACTGGTTTTGGGAACTTGCAAGGAGACATTCAACCTGTACTACATGGACTCTGACGATGATCATGGGGTGAAATTCCGAGAGCACCAGTTTACAAAGATTGACACTATTGCAGCTGATGAAAGTTTCACTCAAATGGATCTTGGGGATCGTATTCTTAAACTCAACACAGAGATTCGAGAAGTAGGTCCCGTCAACAAGAAGGGATTTTATTTGGCTTTTCAAGATGTTGGTGCTTGTGTTGCCTTGGTGTCTGTGAGAGTATACTTCAAAAAGTGTCCATTTACAGTGAAGAATCTGGCTATGTTTCCAGACACGGTACCCATGGACTCCCAGTCCCTGGTGGAGGTTAGAGGGTCTTGTGTCAACAATTCTAAGGAGGAAGATCCTCCAAGGATGTACTGTAGTACGGACGGCGAATGGCTTGTACCCATCGGCAAGTGCTCCTGCAAGGCTGGCTATGAAGAAAGAGGTGTTATGTGCCAAGGTAGGAGCCTTTCCTATTTTTCTTTGAGTGATATTTCTTACCTGTGAGCTTATCAAAGTGCCATTAAATAAAATGCGCTCAGTCTCAACTCACTTGGGAGGAAAACATACCTCAAGCTGAACATAGTCTATTTACAGACTAAATTCTTTCTACTAGATGTGGTCATTTCATGCCCTGCTGTGGAAATATTATGTATGATTATGCAGTGCTGACTGCACCTATATGAGGTGTTACATGTGCTATATTTAAGTTTTTCTGCTGTTTAATAACTAAAGTAATTTCTGAAAGAAAAACATTCTATCTCTTTTATGTAGAAAGTGGAGAAATCTTTAACACTCTGCTGATCTAATTCTAACAGAATTAGTTCTGTGATGGCTATGTATGCTGTTACTCCTCTATCTCATTGCAATATTTACTTCATTGCTATAAGGTACAGTTTCTCCTTCACTCACAGCTGGGTATCAAATACATGTTTACTTACAAAACATTAGTGCTTTTAGAAGATTATTTTATTTAAAAACCCAGAGCTGATTCCTCAGTGTTTAACGTATACAGGTATAATGTTTAAGTATATTTTGCACAATGATTTGACTCTTTTTAGTTCTCAAAAGATTATTTGTGTTACCCTTCAGGTTTGAATGCATATTTGATATTAATATAATATCACAGAACCAGAACTCTTTTATAAAGTTAATATTTATTAAAAAAATCACCTTGTATTTCAAGTAGAATCAAATAAAAGATCATTATATATAAATTATGTATATCAGCTATGCTATATCATATCATAATTCCACTTAATCCCAAAATTTACTTAGCATTAGTCAAGGTTTTATGCTGGAGTACACTAAAATTGTTATTTAAATTTTAAATCAATAAATATATAGGAGAAATTAAGTACATTGTCTTTGAAATTTTGTCTGTTTTAATGCCTTTACTTGCTGTTACATTCTGCCAAGGCTGGTGTTTCACTCCTGGTCTCATAATCAGTCACTTTTCTAAAATGTACATGGAATGAATGTATTGTATATAAATCTTATTTTTTAAAACTGAACAGACCATAGTATTTTGCTTTTTACTATAGATGTAGTTTACAGGAAAAAAAAAGACGTTTTAAATGAGAGTAAATGGTTTATTCTAGCTTCATACCTCATGCTTTTTGATCCTTGAAAACACCATTACAATACCGTTCCAAAAATGGTTTTGAAAGTTATAAAATTAAAACAACATACGAGCTACCATTTACATAAGTAAAGACAGGTTATAATAGCCTTTATATTCCACTTTGAATTGTGTTTTATCATTAAGGTATTTGTTTATGTTATATTGTACTTGTGAGATTTATTTTAAATAAAATCATGAAAGTTTATCTCAGAAGGAATTTAAAAATTGCCTATTTAAGAGATATTTAATGCACACCTACTTCATTGTAAGAACAAATCAAAACTACATTGAGATACCATCTCACGCCAGTTAGAATGGCGATCATTAAAAAATCTGGAGACAACAGATGCTGGAGAGGATGGGGAGAAATAGGAACACTTTTACACTGTTGGTGGGAGTGTAAATTAGTTCAACCACTGTGGAAGACAGTGTGATGATTCCTCAAGGATTTAGAAATAGAAATTCCATTTGACACAGCAATCCCATTACTGGGTATATATCCAAAGGACTATAAATTGTTCTACTATAAGGACACATGAACACGAATGTTCATTGCAGCACAGTTTACAATATCAAAGACCTGGAACCAACCCAAATGCCCACCGATGATAGACTGGACAGGGTAAATGTGGCACATATACATCATGGAATATTATGCAACCATCAAAAATGATGAGTTCGTGTCCTTTGTAGGGACATGGATGAACCTGGAAACCATCATTCTCAGCAAACTGACACAAGACAGAAAATCAAGCACCGCATGTTCTCACTCATAGTGGGGTGTTGAACAATGAGAACACACTACACATTGGGGTCGATTGGGGGTAATAGGGGAGGGACAGCAGGGGGTGGGGAGTTGGGGAGGGATAGCATGGGGAGAAATGCCAGGTATAGGTGAAGGGGAGGAAGGCAGCAAATCACACTGCCACATGTGTACCTATGCAACAATCTTGCATGTTCTTCCCACATACCCCAAAACCTAAAATGCAATAAAAAAGAACTATAGTAAGAATTCAAATATTTTTTGTTGACATTCTTTAATTAGCCACTTACTAGATGCCACACACTGTGCTGCTTTGCTAAGCAATGTTCATGAGCTATCTCATTTATTCCTCAAAATAACCTATGAAGTACATACTACTACTCTTTCTATTTTAAAAATATGGAGACCAAAGCTTTGATAGGTCAAATAGCTTGCCTTAGATCTCTCAGTGAGTTTGTACTGGAATTGCGATCTGAAACCAGGGAGTCTGTCTCCAAAGGCTGGAGTCTTCACATCAGCTCATGCTGCTTCCCTGTGATTCAGTGGAAGGGTAACAGACTATAAAACCCCACAAGGACACAAACTCCGCCGGAGTTAGAGCACTATATTTTGAAGGATGAGTATGGCTGCCAGAAGTGAGCTCAACGTAGCCAAGGATCTAGAAATATGAGAATTATCTGAATCAGTTTATTTCCAACTTTTTCATTTTGAGATTTTTAAGAAATAAAAATGACTAGCCAAAAGACTGTATTTTAGGAAGACTAAGCTTAGCATGGGTGGCATCTAATAAAAATGGAATATATGATTTGTCAAGCATCTTAGCTATGCAAATTTAATTCTGTAAGTGTTTTTGACCATCTATTAGTACAAAGTGATAATGTGCCAGACACAGGGGAAATATAAGTGAATAAGTTATTGTGGGAGCTCACTATCTAGTATGAAAGACAGACAAATAAATGAATGATTTTAATGTGAGGCATATCAATAAGTCTTCTGCCAGGGGTACAATGTACCTTAGCAATGAAGGGTAAGAAGATATTAAGTTTGAATATTTTACAATAAATAATAGGAAATGTTAATAATAGGAAGCTATTTGTGTTGAGAGTTTTGGACTCTTATTGTCATTTTGCTTAGAAACATATGGGGTAGCAAGAAAGGACTAGATACCTTACACAGCTTGCACATTCCAAAAGGTGAGATTTGTAACTTGTTTATGGAATCATTATCTCAAAATTTCTAAATGCACAGGCATCCTATTAGAGTACTATCTACTGAGTGTGTATGTGTGTGTGCGCATGTCTGTGAGTGTGTATGTGTGTGAGTGTATGTCTGTGAGTGTGTATGTGTGTGAGTGCATGTCTGAGTGTGTATGTGTGTGTGCATGTCTGTGAGTGTGTATGTGTGTGAGTGCATGTCTGTGAGTGTGTATGTGTGTGTGTGCATGTCTGTGAGTGTGTATGTGTGTGTGCATGTCTGTGAGTGTGTATGTGTGTGTGTGCATGTCTGTGAGTGTGTATGTGTGTGAGTGCATGTCTGTGAGTGTGTATGTGTGTGTGCATGTCTGTGAGTGTGTATGTGTGTGTGCATGTCTGTGAGTGTGTATGTGTGTGAGTGCATGTCTGTGAGTGTGTATGTGTGTGTGCATGTCTGTGAGTGTGTATGTGTGTGAGTGCATGTCTGTGAGTGTGTATGTGTGTGTGTGCATGCCTGTGAGTGTGTATGTGTGTGTGCATGTCTGTGAGTGTGTGTGTGCATGTCTGTGAGTGTGTATGTGTGTGTGCATGTCTGTGAGTGTGTATGTGTGTGTGTGCATGTCTGTGAGTGTGTATGTGTGTGAGTGCATGTCTGTGAGTGTGTATGTGTGTGAGTGCATGTCTGTGAGTGTGTATGTGTGTGTGCATGTCTGTGAGTGTGTATGTGTGTGTGCATGTCTGTGAGTGTATGTGTGTGCATGTCTGTGAGTGTGTATGTGTGTGAGTGCATGTCTGTGAGTGTGTATGTGTGTGTGTGCATGTCTGTGAGTGTGTATGTGTGTGTGCGCGTGTGTGTGCATGTCTGTGAGTGTGTATATGTGTGAGTGCATGTCTGTGAGTGTGTATATGTGTGTGTGCATGTCTGTGAGTGTGTATATGTGTGTGTGCATGTCTGTGAGTGCGTGTATGTGTGAGTGCATGTCTGTGAGTGTGTATATGTGTGAGTGCATGTCTGTGAGTGTGTATATGTGTGTGTGTGCATGTCTGTGAGTGTGTATGTGTGTGTGCATTCTAAAATGTTTTTTATCTCTACCTCTGAATGAACATAGATTTTTTAAACTGATTTATGAAACAGAACTAAGTTAACACTAATTTTAAAACTTCTAAAAGATATTGTTGATAGGGAAGGATATGTTGGTATAGAAAGAGATGAGTGATGAGAAATTAAGATTTTCTGCATTAAGATGCTTTATGTTACCAGGTTCTTCTCCTCCTTTCTCCTCCTCCTCCTCCTCCTTTTCTTCCTCCTCCTTCTCTTCCTCTTCTTCCTTCTCCTTCTCCTTCTTCCTCCTCCTCCTTCTCCTCTTTCTTTTTCTTTTTTTGGCTGGGGAAGATAGAACAAAAGCAAGCTAAGAGCAGTAAATGGTGAATTTTTCTCTTTCAATGGCTGTTTAGAGAAAGAAAATAGAGGAGGGTAGAAAGAAATGTTGGTGGCTAAAGAATCAGTCAAGAATCACGTGTCAAACAAACAGGAAAAAGCTCCAGGAAGGTAAAGAGTACTTACTGAAATAAATATGGTAAAATAGAAGTGCAGATAAAAATAATTATGCAAGCTTAAACTGATAAGGAGTTGTATAAAATAGTAAGAAAGGTGAACTATGTATCATACTGTTTACTGGAAAATTATCTAGTATATTTTAAAATATGACTTTTGTTTAAATATGTTATCTCTCGTATTTAATGAAAGAGAATGACAGTGTAATGTCTTTTATTTAATTTACGTGTATGTGACTTAAATCTTGTTTGGACCATGTTTCTGGGGTCTGGGCAGATGCTGGATTTTGACAGCATGGTTAAATGGCAGATTGGGTTGTTTTTTG